TATTTACAAATATTAAAGGGGCACATCGATCCCCTGATCCGGTGTTGCCACCCGACCAGTGTCTCGGGGGCTACTACATTGCTTGTCCAATGCAGAAATTTTTATGTGCAATATAGTTTCCGAGGAGATTTTGATCCTCAGGTTGGTCGGCCGCACCCAACTCGAGTCTCGAGGACTGAGCACGCCGCTTTTAGTGTCCCGAAGTATTCTGCCGAGCTTGGACTTGATCCTCAGGCCGATTTTGTAAATCAACCTGAGTCTCAGCGGCTACTGGGATCAGCGGTCTTACGTCATCCTTTAGGTGCATCTCGGGTTTTAGACCGATACACACCTTGAGGGCTACTGGCTATATATCTCGGCAGAGAATAAATTGCACCAATAAAAAATATTCACAAAAATCGGCCCACATTAGGGGTGGTGCACCACCTCGGAAGCAGTCCGGCATAAAGCTCGGGCGCTAGTGGTTGGCTCCATAGAGGGCATTTCCGGCATTAAGCTCGGCTAAACTCCTTCAAACTTCTTTGAACCAAGGTGATTTACGACACCTCGGATACAGTCCGGTGTTGGAGCTTGGACACAGTCCGACGTTGGAGCTTGGACACAGTCCGGCATTGGAGCTCGGATACATTTCAGCGTTGGAGCTCGAAAGCAGTCTGGCATTGGTGCTCGGCTGCAAAAAATACCTCGAATGCAGTCCGGCGTTAGAACTCGGACGCAAGAGGACACTGCCTCCCGGGAACAACTTCAAACCCGAGGTGTGGCATAAAAATAACAAGGCATTGATAAAGGCCGGAAACTTAAAGGAGCTCCTCGGATACCTGACGTGTAAACTCGTCGAATGCATTTCGGCAATCCTCAAGATCGAAGATGAGAAGATTTGTTGAACCAGTTTTCAAGACCGACAACCGAAGATGAAGAACAGTTCGGAAGAATCGAGGAGCGTCCCTAACTTGAAGACCGGTTCAGGGGGCTACTGACGGTGTCCTGGACTAGGGGGTACTCACCACGTCATCTCCCGATCTGTTAGATTGGGCCGAGGACCCCCATGGCCGTATACTCACGGGCCAGTTCGGGCAGTTGACGTATACATGGAAGATTCCACAAGACTTGGTGATCAAGAGAAGGACTCCTCCTCACCGGCGTATTCGGCTAGGACTCTTGTTATCCTAGGCCTCTGGTACATTATATAAACCGAGGCCAGGCTAGTCGATAAAGAATAGACAATCATACCATAGGCTAGCTTCTAGGGTTTAGCCTCTCTGATCTCATGGTAGATCTACTCTTGTACTACCCATATCATCAATATTAATCAAGCAGGACGTAGGGTTTTACCTCCATCAAGAGGGCCCGAACTTGGGTAAAACATCGTGTCCCTTGTCTCCTGTTACCATCCGGCCTAGACGCATAGTTCGGGACCCCCTACCCGAGATCCGCCGTTTTTGACACCGACACCCAGGAAAAGTGTGTCATATAATCAATTTTCTCAGCTCTTACTCCCCTTTGATGGTTTAATTTAGGAACGGGAATCACCGCCAGACCTCTAAAACCCGTCTCATACATCCGGGCGAGGCCCCCCGGTCATGATTTTTTGACCTAGAGTAGACAGACCCCTCAAACGGCCTAAAACGTCCGGGCTCATCGGCAACCCCCCATATCCAGCCCAAATATGGGGCAGGTATGGGGGCACGCGGGCACACCCGTCACGTCGGACCCGACAGCCTGACCCCACCTGAAATTGCACCAAATCCACCCCGTAGACCAGCCGGATCCATTTGCTATCTCCTCTCTTCTTTCTCCTCCGTGGCGTCTGTCTCGCGCTCTGTCACCGCACCCGCTCCGCAGTCGTTCCCAGGCTCTCCGCCGCCAGCTCCGGAAAGAGCGCTCCTGCCCTCGCCATGGGGGACGTCGTCGCCGGCCCGGACGCCACCGTGGTACGTTCGGCAACTCCGGCTCTGCCTTGCGCTTGATGTATTCGACACATTGACCGACCAGAATTATTGTGATTTTGTTAGGTAAATGATGGGTTCCAATGCTTCATCAGACGAGGAGTATGAATCGACGGAGCTTGACCAAATGATTCAAGATGAGTTCTTCGATTCGTCGGATTCGGACGAAGAAGTGGACATGATCATGCTCATGAGCATGCAAAGAGTAAATGGACCGGCAAGCGGAGCATATTCTCAATTTCAAGGGCAAAATCAGAGGGAGAAGAGTGATCAATCAGGACAGGGTGTCTGGAGCAAAGCTACTGCACAATGACTACATTGCTCCCACACCTGCTTTCCCGGATGATCCATGGTTTCGTCGTTGTTTTCGCAATGCGAAACCATTGTTTTTGCGCATTGTGGAGGGAGTGGAGGCACACGACAACTACTCCAACCTCATAAGGGATTGCTGCGGCCAACTCTCTTTCTTGGGCAAGCAAAAGTGCACGGATGCTCTGAGGATGCTTGCACTTGGTACTACTACATACGTCGTTGGTGAGATGGTCAGGATGAGAGAGAGCACGTGTCGGAAGACTACTGTCAAATTTGCCCGCGCCGTGGTTGAGGTGTTTGGACCTGAGTATCTCAAAGAACCAGATTCGCGGGACACGGAGAAGTTGTTGGCTATTGGAGAGGCAAGGGGGTTTCCAGGAATGCTCGGATCAATTGACTACATGCATTGGCAATGGAAGAACTGCCCCAAAGGTCTGCGGGGAATGTATCAAGGTCACACCAAAAGAGGTCGACATCATACTAGAAGCAGTGGCATCACATGACTTATGAATTTGGCATGCTTTCTTTGGAATGCCCGGTTCTCACAACGACATCAACGTGCTTCAACGATCTCCAGTGTTCATGAGGCTTTGTAATGGGGAATCACTGTCGTGCAACCACACCATCAACGGTCGGGACTACGACATGGGGTACTATCTTGCCGATGGTATCTATCCTCAGTGCGCGGCGTTTGTGAAGATCATATTCGAGTCGCCTGGCAATAAACAGAGACACTTTGCAACAATGCAGGAAGCGGCTTGGAAGGACGCAGAGAGGGCATTTAGTGTGCTTCAGACTCGTTGGGGAATTGTGTGGAGCGCTGCAATGATGTGGGAATCAGAAACTTAGTAGCAGCTGATGACATGTTGTGTTATTCTACACAATATGATTGTCTAGGATGAGGGTGATGGTGTAGCCCAAACCCATGATTCTGAAGCACCCGGAGAACAAGTTGAAATCCCAGAAGATCAAGATGCAGCTCAACTTATGAACTTTCTACACATGCATTAGAATCTTCGAGATCAGCAGGTGCACACGCAGCTACTCAATGATCTTGTGGAGCACATGTGGATTCACAATGGCAACCAAGGAGGCAATGCTTGAGTTTGGCACTTCAAATAAATTTTATGTAAACGCTATCTATGCTTGATACCAACAATAGCTATTTACGTATGACATTGTGTTGCATGATCGACACACATGTATTTGCATGGATTTGAGAGTCCGTATTTGAGATGCATGGATGCCCGGAATGAAATATGAGGGCCCATCCGGATGCGCCCGCAGGCGTTTGAGAGGTCGGATTTGCCAAGTTCGGCTGTAGATGCTCTAATAGGCACCGGCGTGCCTGTCGCAGCGTAGGCATTAGATGCATACTACGCGATTGAGCGGTACACGCAGGACCGGCCGAAGCTTCGGCCGGCGCGCCGTTGTCAAACATTTCCTTACTTAAAAACAGAGAATGTGTTTAAAGTTGAAAGGAAGTAAAATAACCCGACTACTTTTTTCTTTTGGGGTGAAACAACTTAACAAGATTGATGTCATTTCATCATGAAATTCTGCACCCAAAATAGTACTTACCAATGTTTGTTAATTTCTTTTAGAAATAACAATATGAGTGATCATTAGGGTTTTCTTTTCCCTCCTTACCCCTTGACCCTTGACGGCTAGGGTAAAATCTTCCTTCTAGGTTTCGTCGACGAGCCTGTGGATTCACCTTCCCTCTTCCTGCTGCTCGGCGGCCGGTGCCGAGGAGGGGCCGGAGCCTTCGTTTCGGTTAGTAGTTTAGGTATGGGTTTTTAGTCCTCATAGGTGTGGCGCTTAGACGAATGACGCCGCTTCTTCTTCGAGTTTGTGTTCCGGGTCCTGATCCTCCTCGAGCTTTTTCTTCTGGATATAGTTGACGAAGCTCCGGCGTAGATTCCCACCATCTCTTTGGGGCGGTGATGTTAGGATTTCTCGTCACGTGACGAGATTTGGTGTCAGACGCTTCAAATCTATTCAAGGGTTCAACAACGACGACTGTGGCTCCAGGGCGCTGGTCCATAGGGACACGTGCATGAAGACTTCACATCTGTCATCGACAGGTCAAGCCGGCTCCCATAGGCGAACGACGATAACAGCTCGTCAGCGGCTTGTTCTAGTGGCGGTAGTGGTTGTTCAGTGGTTTCGGACTTTCGATGTAATTTTTATTATGTTTAAGGTGCTTCGTACTTTTGATGTAATTTTTATTATGTTTAAGGTGCTTCGCACTTTCTGGTGAACTATGATAATTGATCTGGATCATTTTTGAAAGAAATATGAGTGATTATTTTTAATACGATGCATAAATGGTCACATGTTCCTCCTTCTAAAATTCGGGTGGTACACAAAATCCGCACTTCTCTCGTTTCGTCCACTGCCGCACACACCAAAAATGAGGTAAAATAACCGATTTTTTTACCAGCATTCCAGCAATGGAAATGAGACAAGAAAAGAAGCTAGAAAAGGAGTTTCAGAATAGGAAAAGAGAGAGAGAGAGAGAGAGAGAGAGAAAGACATTTCGGACTAGGAAAAAAACCCGACCCCTCCGTCGCACAGCAGCAGGAGCTGCCCCCACCACCTGCGCGGCCAACGACACCAAGCCCTCACCGAACCCCTCGGCTTTGTTTCCCATCTCGCCTCGGTCCTCCGCCAAATCCCCAAATCGCAGCCCCCGATCCGCCGCCGTCCCCGATTCGCCGCCGCCGTTGACCCGCGCAAATGACCTCCGGCCCGCCGTCGCCTTCCGGCAAGGCTTACTCCCGCAAATCTCACGGCCCCGGCCCCAAATCCTCCAAGGCCCGCTCCTTCGACGCTCACAATGGCCCGCTGATCCCCACCGTCACCTTCTCGCTCCCCTCGACGCCGGCCACGCGACGAGAGCTGCGGCGCCGCCTCTCCGCGGAGCTCGCACAGGTGCGCGCCGCCTACAAGCGCATAAGCTCCCTCCCCGCTCCCGCCCCCTCCTCCGCGCTCTCCGCCACTGACCCCTCCACCCCGCTCCCGCCGCACCCCTCCGTCTCCAAGCACAAGTCCAAGAAGGGCCCCCCGAACCCGTCCGGCTCGGCGGAGGCGCGGCGCAAGCTCTACGCTCCCGTCTTCAGGAGCTGCGCCGTGGTGCTTGCGCGGCTGATGAAGCACAAGCACGGCTGGGTGTTCAACGTGCCGGTCGACGCCAGCGCGCTTGGCCTGCACGACTACCACACCATCATCACCAAGCCCATGGACCTCGGCACCGTCAAGTCAAGGCTGGCCGCCGGGCACTACAAGTCGCCGCGGGAGTTCGCAACTGAAGTCCGTCTGACTTTTCAGAACGCCATGAGGTACAACCCCAAGGGGCAGGATGTGTATTTCATGGCCGAGCAGCTTCTAAATATGTTCGAGGAGAAGTGGCCAGAGATTGAAGCTGAGATGGCACAGCTGTCACCGCAGCCACCTACACCATCATCTGCCCCGCCCAAGAAGCAGAAGCAGAGGGAGAGGGAGAGAGAGAGGGAGATGGATAGTGCTAGAGTACTAGAGAGGTCTGACTCCACAGCGCATGCTGCAGCATTGGAGGCTCCCCCGAAGCCGCACGCTGGTACCGCCAGACCCCCAGTTTTAAAGAAGCCAAAGGCAAGGGATCCTAATAAGAGGGAGATGACGTTCTGGGAGAAGCAGCGGCTTAGTAACGACCTCCAGGACTTGCCAGCCGAGAAGCTCGATAATGTTGTACAGATCATAAAGAAGAGGAACTCATCACTTAATCAGCATGACGATGAGATTGAGGTTGATATAGATAGCTTTGATGTTGAGACATTATGGGAGCTTGATAGGTTTGTGACAAACTACAAGAAAAGTATAACCAAGAATAAGCGGAAGGCCGAGCTTTCCGTAGCAAGGCAGGATGAGTCCGACCATGAGCCGGATTTGGAGAAGATTGAGCATGCCAGGCATGATGAGGGAGAGCAGGATCAGATGCGCACAGTACATAATACGGTATGCTTTTTATAGATAGTATAATAGGTGTTTGTGAATTGCTAAGCAATATGGGTACTTACTACTGCCCTGCAATTACAGATCCCAGAACCAGAAGCAATTGATGTAGTTGATGTGGTTGATGTTGAACCGCCTATGGTTGAAGCTGAACCACATAAGGAAATTGCAGCAGGCAAGGCTAAACACACACCCTTAGAGCATTTTTGGAACTATTATTGTTGCCTTCCAGATCAGAACAAATGTGTCGGCTATTACTATAAATGTTATGGTTACTTGTTTGTAGCATATTTTTGTGCAGTGTAAGTGTAACACATAAGTTTTCTCACCTATCAGATGACAATGGGAGATATATGGGTTCATCATCACCTGCTCATTTAGAAGATCAGAAAGGAGACAATGTCGGTAGATCAAGTAGTTCTGGAAGCTCTAGCAGCGAATCAGGGTCTTCCTCCAGTGGTAAACACCCTCTCGTTTGACAGAAATTTATAACAAGAATAATACATTGTGCAAGATTCTATACAAGGTATTCTTTAGAAGTATGCAAAACACCTGGTATTTACCTTGAGAAGCATGTGCAGATACGGATTCTGATAGTTCATCAGCAGATGGCTCTGATGCCGCACAGTCACCCAAATCGTAACATCTATAGGCCAGGTATATTTTATATTCCCTCACAATTGTTGTCCAATAATTCAGTTTTTGTATTTTGTCTTTAAATGCATGCAAAACACATTCAAGCCAGAAAGCATTAATAAGCATAATGAGAAAATCCATGTTTTGGCAAGTTGCTTAGCTTTTGAACTTTTAGTTATGTAGGAAACACTGTATTGACTTAGATTTTTTTACCTGCTATGCAGAGGTTGCTAATTTGCTGACAAACAAATAAGCAGCTAACTAGATCAAGCCAGTATAGCTCATTGTGTTGTACTAGGCTTAACTACCAATAATACAATATTCTATGTTTTCTGCTTTATTTGTCCTATTGTTCGGCTATGTGAATCTTTGAAGAAGCAAGAAGAACCAGAATGTGATGGTTTGATGGCTTTAGATAGTTGGATGTACTATTTGAGACCACCTATGCCACAAACAGCAGGCATCATGCATACCAGATTACCAGTCTTGCTTTATTGTTGTTAGCTTGTAGGTTAGAAATAAAATGGATATGCTAGAGCCTAGAGGATGACCTTGCTCTTGGTCATAGGTAAGACATGATGCAGTAACTTACCTTACATGCTCATGGAGTAGGTAGGAATAGGATCACAAGTATATTATTGGATTACCATGCAATGATGCAGATTATTTAGCTGGGAAAGTTCATATATCTCAAAATTATCTGTGATACATAATAATTCACGGTATAGTAGTGAAAGAAATAACCATTCCTTTTTTAATAAAATAGGCATCTTGATAATTTTTTTAAAGTCGAAGAAGTCTGCATATGGTCTCATGGCTTGTTTGGTTCGTGGGCTGGACTCCATGCAACTCCATGGGTGGTAAAAATAGGTGCCTAAAGGTAGCTTCTAAATCAAATGATTTTTGCCTAGTCAGGAGCTGATGAAGACGCGGTGTTCGATTTGAGTTCTGGCCTGAGAAAAACACGTAAAGAACAACACTATGTGTTGTTGGTGAGGAAGTGTAACTATGCGAAGTGCACGCACACTAGATAGCGAAACCACATGACATGCTCTTTGAAGAAAAAAGAAAAGCTCTAGTTTAAATTGATATGTCCCGTGGACGCGCTCCTCATTAGGTAGCTTCTCGACGCAGCGTTGGAGCACAGATCCCTCTCCCTGCCCGCCTCTGGACAAAGCCTGCACGAGTGGCCGAGTACATCAAGACCGGCCACTGATATCTGCTTCACCAAGGATCACAGTAGTTTTCTTGCAGAGTTGCGACTCATGGCTCCTCAGTCGCAAACACAGATGCCTGATTTCGACCTGCGGTGGCTCCATTGCATTTGCACCGGCGGTGGCCAGTGAGTCTGACGGGGACTTCTTAACTCCGACGCCCCCTCAATTGTGTTTGCGACGACGCATTTTAGTGCGACCTTGGTGTTGGCGTCTGCGACTAGTTCCGGAGGAGGAGAAATGATCACCCGTGTGGTTAGCAGGAGGAAATGCCGCCTGAAAAGAGGAAGAATGGTACATGCCCCCAGTCGTCCGTTTTTGGTGGCCTGCGCCTGGCGGGGAGCAAACTGGGGTGGTAACCAAACGTGCTCCATGCTCCCTCCTGGCAACGTTTCGGCAAGGCTAGTGTGGCCTAGGACACAATCCAAACACCCATTCAAAAGGTGGATATTTGGTGTGAATCACTTGCCCTGAATAGTGGTGTCATGTGTCTAGTCCATCACTTGACTTTAAGTATAAATTGTATTTAGAGTTATAATTCATTTCCCATGCGTTTTTGCTGTAATCTACTGTATGGACTCTTTGCTTTTCCAACTAGAAATGTCTGAAAATGATTTAATTTTTACAACAAAAAATATGGCACTCTTTTTTCTACAAGTTGGATTTTAGTAACTTCTATAGTGCTCATTTGGGCTGCGTTTGTCCAAGTTATACATTACAGTAGTCACATACTATTACAATGCTTACACTCGAACATGTATCAGTCTTTAACTTTTCTGTTAAACTTAGTTGGCAGTTATCTTCTGGGGCCCCAGTTCATTTGTTTGTTAAACTCCACTCTAAACTACTATAAATGTCCTCATTGAAAATTGCAGGATACAGTTTAAATACTTGAAGGGATTAATATTGAGCTCATTTAACATTACCAGCTTTGCTAATTAATAATTATGGATAATGACTTTCCAAATACCATAGAAATAGCTACATTTTTTTTCCTATTCTCATGAGCTTTCTAGAAATGGCCATGTCGGTCCAGCCTATTGTTACTAGTATCATTGTAGTGGCTGTTACTAGTATCGTCCAAGTGGCAGTTAGTGTTGCGGCTTAGGTGGGTTTGTTCTGTAGTTCTGCTGTGGGCCATTCAAGAATATAAATTTACTTGTAAACTTTGACTAAACTATTAATGAATCCAGCTATAGTATTTGTGGTGATGTTTATCTCAAGTACCAACTGGAAGGAAACATGCTGTGATATCCACACTGCAGATTCACGAATTACTGTCACAAGCGCATCAGTGCAACGTAAATTTAATCATTGAATACTGGTATCTACTATATCTAAATAGCTAGCCCCCACGACTAGGAATTCCCTCGCTTCTCCTTAAGCCACGTCACCCAAATTAATTTAGCCCTTGGATATACTAGATCAATCAATAATATCCATCTGATCTACACACTGAGAGCTGCTGCACCCACCATATGTGGTAACTGATGCATGCAGGCAAATGCACGCAGTAAGTACCTCCTACGAGTGTTTTAATCAAGAAAATAAATTGACGCATGCATGCAGGTTTTAGCCTCATATGTGAGTGCTCTATATGGAAGAAAAGTGAGTAGTGCATGCATATTTTATGTTGTTTTCGTCTAACTTTGAACATATATATAGATTGAGATATGTCTTCATTTATTTATTTATCTGTAAAATACTGATAAACAAATTATCTTACTATATTACTATAGGAGAAATTGTAAAGACATGATTAGTTTCGCATAATTTTTATTGCATGTAAAATTCCGCCGCAACGCGCGGGGCATCGTCTAGTTTAACTAAAAGCTATGTTTTTAAAGCGTCCCTAAGGCGACGCCTAGGCGTCGAAGCGCTCCCCCTCCGCTTTGGAAAATCGACCGCTTTGGGCGTCTAGGCGTCCAAAGCGCCCGCCTAGGCGCCAAAGCGCCCCCCCTCCCTAAGGCGGTAAGGCGTCGCCTTAAAAACATAGACTAAAAGGGCAGCCCGGTGCATGTAGCTCCCGCTTGCGCAGGGTCCGTGGAAGGGTCCGACTATAGTACGCAGCCTTTCCCTACATTTATGTAAGAGGCTGTTTCCAGGACTTGAACCAGTGACCTCATGGTCACAAGGCAGCAGCTTTACCATTGTGCTAAGGCTCCCCTTCTGAATACTGGTATTTAACTACTGCAATAAAAACATTCCTAATTTGTGGGTGAACTTTTGAGAAGTTGCTCAAATTATTGAAAGTAGACAGGGATAATTTTCGTACTATCTGAATCTTCTTGAGTAGGGATGCTACATTTTGTTTCGTTTGGCTTGTTTCTATATTAGACTAGCTCGAGAGCCTAGATGCATTAGAATACCTAATGTACCAAAATTTTCCTGCATATGATTTGTTGAAATCATTAAACCTGTCATCGACACTAAGTACAACAATTTTGGTGTCTGCGTACTTCATTTGATAAAAAGCATGTGCATGAACGCTATTTTCAAGCCATATGTAAATATATAATATATATGATTTGCATAGTTAGACTTCTGCACATTGTGATAAATTTTAATGTAATGGTTGGTAATTATTGCATTATTATTTACTAATGAAGGGCTTGATCTAATACATTAAACTCTTGATTATGCCTTTTCTCATTTGTACTGTCTGTTTGAGGTAACTAGCTTTTTATTATCCTATATAAAATATTACAGTAGTGCTCCAATGTCCAAACAGTCTGGTTGCGAAAGGGCAAACATACTGCATTACTGAAAATTTAAATTTTCACGAGACACTATCTAAAAGTCAAAATTTGGAACTGTGGCATTGACCTACTTGTGCTGTCCAAAACGACACCATAAACTCTGCCTAATGAGAAATTCTGTGAAAATAACGACATGGTAGTCATAGATTCATCTCACAACAAATATTATTGGCAATTGGTGTTACTTCTTCATCTCTATTTCATATTTCAACCCTCTTGTCGAGATTAGTGTCCAAAAATATGTCTGAGCAGAGCATTTAATTTTTTTGAATATATGTTGTGACGCAAGCACAACAAAGTGCACCCCGTATTGTTATCTAAAATGTATCTAGCCCTAACTGCAGTCTATAGAATGATATAATTCTTATGGTCTAAAATGATGAACCTAACATCTCCAGTTTCCTTGTGTTTGCAGATCTTAACGTCAGACAGAAGATGATAACCTGTAAGTTCACCAAAGATTCTGGCATGATATTGCCGACACGATTCAATGTTGCCGTCTGTAAATTTTGGTCATGTAGGGAAGCCTAACAACCACTGCTGCTGCCCGTGTTGCTGTTAGGTCTTTTTAGCCTCATAGTGGATGCCGGAGATCACGCATGCATTTCATGCGTCTGTACCATTATTTGCAGTTATGTACCTATTGTAGAGTGCTGCGTTTACTTAGTCATTCGCTGGAAGTTATCTGACAATTGGATAGAAGACACCTGCAAATTGGGCAAGTAAAGACAGCCGGTGAAGACCAGGAACCTGGAGACCTCGCCCTGTTGTAAGATTGTAAAATTGTTATAGTTGGTTAATTTCTTTTGTTTTATTTTGGAACTAGCTAGTCTGTAATTTATGTTGGGTCGGAATAGGGCGGATAATTCATCTTTCCCATTGCTCTGATTGTTCTAAAGATCTCTACACGCTCGTTTGAGCTGTAACATTAAACATTTTTTACCTCAATAATGGAGGCAATCTGGAGGTTCACTTGGCAGTAAAAAAGTACTCGTAATTAGTACAGTCGTTTCACTTCTCAGTTCTCTAAACTTCACTGATGCTAGTGGTCAAGTGATCTAGTAAATGGTTCTTACTTTTCTTGCTGGTGGTTCTTTGCATCTCTATCTCTCAACATTACCCGTTCAGGACCTGATCTCATGGTTCTCATTTGGTGATTGTGCCCACACCGTAAAACATTCCAATTGTTTTTACTTTTATTTTTGAGGGGCTTCCATTTTTTTTCTACTTTGTGTGGTGAATAAGCTGTGCTATGCAAACCAATTTTTAGTTTTTCTCCCTGCAAAAAATGGTCCTAGCCTTTGACCTGGCCTTTGTCGTTCATCCGTCTCATTATCCTAGCCGTGAACCTCCCACCCCACACCTCTCCAAAGCTCAAAACTGCTCCGCCGGCCAAATGGTCCCGCTTCGGCGCCTTCCGGCGCTGCCGCTAACGCGTGGCTCCACGCGCCGCCGCCTCCTCGCCACCGGGGCCTCACCGCTCCCATGGCCGGGCCTTCACACCTGGCGCCGGGCCCCTCCCAGCGACCTCCGCTCGTGGGGCCCCAGCGGCCCCTGCGCCCCGAACACGGACGAGGCGGGCGCGCCAGAAGCCGGCGCCGGAGCCGGCCACGGCTCGTCGCTGGCCGAGATGGGCGCCCTCGTGCTGTCCACCGCCGCCCCCCTCGGCAAGGCGCACCTCACCCACGCCGCCTTCTCCCGGTGGGCGGCAGGCGGGCTCCCCGTGGGCCTTGCGCGGGCCCCCGACCACCCCGCCAGGCCGGAAAAGCCCCTCGCGGTAAATGCTCATCCACCATCCTCCTGTTGCTCTCTTCGTCGAGGCATTTGATCGAGCAGGTTTGGCTGTGTGGTGCTCTTGCTGCTGCAGGTGACTCAGAAGGAGGTCCCCACGCACAAGGCGATGGGGGTGCCGCTAAACGCGTACATGCTCCACAACCTGGCGCACGTGGAGCTCAATGCCATCGACCTTGCCTGGGATACTGTGGTGCGGTTCTCGCCGCTCCGGGACACCCTGGGAGATGGCTTCTTTGCCGATTTTGCGCGTGTGGCCGACGACGAGAGCCGGCATTTTCGGTGGTATTCACAGCGGCTTGCCGAGCTTGGGTTCAGGTGAGTGGCACAAAGAATGCGGCAGTGTGGATGTTGAATCGATGCGAAATCTCTGTCCACTGGTTGTTCTGCCTGTTGTCAACTTGTCATACATTGGCGGTGATAGTTTCCTTTATGACCTATGTCAGATTGTTGTAAGTTTGTAACAGTTTCTGTGGACAGATATGGCGATATGCCTGTCCACAATCTTCTGTGGAGGGAGTGTGCAAAATCCTCAAGTGATGTTTCTGCACGGATGGCTGTTATACCTCTAGTACAGGTGCCAGATCATCTTCTTCTCTGCGATACTGTAAAAAATACATTGTTTATGACCTGCTCGGTTTGAACCATGAGTTTCCAAATCTTTTTAGATGACAGTAGTTGGTGAATAATTTTGATTTACTAGACTTGACCGATATGTTGATGATTAGAACCTTAATAGGAAGCTAGAGGCCTTGATGCTGGACCAAGACTAGTCCAGAAGTTAATTGGCTTTGCGGATCATAGATCTGCCGACATTGTGGCAAAAGTAGCAGAGGAAGAGCTTGCACATGTTTCTGTAGGTTTATATTGGTTCCTGAAAGTATGCGAAATGATGGGCCGTGTCCCTGGTGCTGCTTTTAGAGGTTAGGCTGGTTCTTTATGATCCACTAAATACAATTTCATGAAATTATGTTGATTAATGGATTGTTTCTCTGTAACATTCCAGACTTGATAAAGGAGCATGATGTTGTAATGAGGGGTCCATTTAATTACCAATCTCGTGATGAAGCTGGTATACCTCGAGAATGGTAAGCTTTGACTATACTGTGACTATGAATCTAGAAGTATTGCATGTATATATGAATAGGTTATATTGTTGATGCTGTTATTCAGGTACGATGAGACGCTTAAACCTGAAGTTGCAAGCAACCTTTCAGAGGTGAGGGACTATCTATTGTTTATCCAGTGTGTTTTGATGTATCTAACTTGTGGCGTGTACCTCACAGGTGCATGATAGGCTAGCATGTGTTGTTGAGATGGAGAGAGAGAATGCTAGTTTGAATGGCTAAGTCTCACATGACGAATACATGAGAGACTTGGTACGTACGACGCAGATATTCTAGCACACTGATACTTTTTTCTTGGTTTATTTTGATGCCAACCACCACCAAACTGCTTTCATCCCTTGTCTATATTCTACTTATTGGACCTTTCCAGTTTGACATACATGATCACATCTATTATGTCGTATTATCATTATGGAAAAGATAAGATTTTTTTTTGTTATGCTAGTATGCATCAGCTGATTCAGCTATATGTGCACTTCGAATGATTGTAGGAAAGAAAAACACCGAGTGTTCAAGTTGTTGACAGTGGGGTCCTGCCTGCCAGTCGGCTTCACAAGCCAAGGATTAGGGACGCACAAAGTTTCCTTAGCCTCAAAGTTTTTGATGGGCAAGCACCCATAATTAGGAATGCAAGTTGGGCAGGGGTACCCCCTAAGCCATCCTAGTTATTTTGCTTCACAACTAACACGAGGATTATGGACAGCAATTAGCAGGAAATGAACCACCAATTGAATGAAATGGATGGATGTATTGATTGACCCACCTGCATCACTTTGCCAGAATAGCCATCCTGATAAATTTACAGTCTAGTATATACCTGCTCAAATGTCATGAACAAAAAGGACCTGAACATTCTTTTTTCTGCATGTGTATAAGTGTATTCCACAACACGCAAGGCCTCATGTAGTTGGCTTCATTCTCAAATGGGACGCGCTTCTGGTGCCCTTTGATCAGTTAACTAAAGTAAGAAAGCATTTGCAGTAGGTAGCCCTCTATTTTTTTCGGGGTAAAAATAGAAAGCATCGGCTCAATATCATTGCAGTGGTGTAAATTGGTGAATACCATCCAATGTAAGGATGGCATGTGGGGCCTGAGGCCACATGTTAGTGTCAATCCTGGACGCTATTCTCTTGCGTGATCGAGCAATATTGCCCTTTAAAGTAAGCTTCTGGTACCAGGATGAACACAAATCCGGTTTGTTGTTTCCTTGTCACGTACACTTCTGTTTCTCCATCCAATGGGTTGATGGCACGGCACAGAGTTTAACAAATTACGTAGATTTCTGCTGCTAAACACCAATTTTCTTCTCCAGCTCAAACATGGTGATTCAGTTGCGTATTTACTACTTTCATGAATGCTTAGGCTAGCTGTAGTGGCGTTTGCCAAGTTGCTGCCCCAAGGCAAAGCGGATGCAGAAACGCCTCAGTTTTGCACAGTCCGCGCCCTGTACAGAAGTCATCAAGTCAAGTCTCTTACCGGCTGGGGGCATAATTTGCTGCTGGGAGCGAGGTGCTGTTGGCCTGAGCTGCAAGAGCTGGAGAACGATGGACAACATATGGTAACCAGTTCATGTCAGTCACAGTTCAGGGGAAAGCCAAACGTTTCACGTTATGTGATGTATCGGCGGACGTGTGTCACAGTTGACCACGATGCTATTTTTAAATCAATGAATATAAAATGTGTTGATCCGATCGGCCGATCGCTTGTCATCCTGAAAGTTGAAGCTTCACAGTTCTGAAATTCTGTCTCACTGAGCTTTCCTCTGCCATTTTGTAGTGTTCCGATGTTGTCAGCGAGCATTTTGAGTTTGTTGAGTTTCTTTCTGGAAAGGAGGTGGAATTATCGGGTTGGAATGATCTGGCCAGCGGTGTGTACCGGCTGCCGGCTGTAGGCTCCCAACGGGCACGTGGGAGCCGGTGGCGCGGCCGCCACAGGCTATCGTTCGCCGCCCACTTCCAACTCCGCCTACCGTGTCCAATGTCCCCAGACTAAACCGACCCGGTGTCGCGCCGGCACGCGTCCCCGGTCGCCGGCGGCGTCACGCATCCCCAAAAACAGAACCGCCGCACCGGTCAAACACTGACGTCGCACCAACACATCTCGTCCGGGCCGGTGCAGCTGCCCACGGGTCCTTCCGGGCAGCTTCCCGCGTCATCTCGGCCGTTCGTTTGCGTACCGACGGCCCGGGATCGCCCTTGCCGGATTTCCTCGCTGCCGCCTGCCCACCGCAGCGCATTATTGCCAGCCTTGCCGCACGCGGATAAATCAAACTCGCCGCGCCGGAAAGCGACCGCAGAGCCGGCCCGTCTCCTCTCCTCCTCGATATATGACCACCAGCACTGTGTTTCCCACGCCTAACCACTCCGACGCGTGACAGCCGCCGGCGCCGATCTGACCAGCCTCCCTCCGCCTGCCTCGCACGCGCGCCGGGGAAAGGGAAAGGGAAAGGGAGAGAGGATCAGAGGAAGATGTGCTGCTGTTGCGGCGGCGGCGACCGCGACCACGACCACGGCTGCCGGCCGCTCGGGTTCCTGCTCGGCCTGCCCTTCGCGCTCCTCGCCGTCCTCGTCTCCATCGTCGGCGCCATCATCTGGATCATCGGGTACGTTTCCTCCTCCTCCTCCTCGTTCTGCGAATTTGCCACCACCAACCTGGCTGTTGGTCTGACGTGATCCGCTGGTGCGAGCAGGCTGCCCATCTCGTGCATCTGCCCGTGCTGCCTGTGCGTGACGCTGCTGCTGGAGGCGGCGGTGGAGCTCGTCAAGGCGCCGCTGCACGTCATGACGTGGTTCACCTCCAAGATACCCTGCTGATTCCGCGGTGACCAGGGGCCGCTCGCTCGCCCCCTCGCTCATGGCTTAGTCGTCGCTGCACATGCCCGCAGATTCTTGTTGTTTTTTCCCACCTGGAAACATATATGTTCGCGGATTGATTGGTGTATATTCGTACCGTGGCTGATGATTCCTGCTCGTTTCCCCCTCTGGTTCGATCGTTTCTGTGATCCCTTCCGGATGTTTGGTGATTGTGACTTTACTTTTCGCGACTGTTAGCGACTGCATGTAGTTCTGTTTCCGTCAGTTTCTTCGGCTGTTGGTTATTCACTTATTTGTCAGCGATTGCTATGGACGATGTCTACCGTGTGCTCTTGTTGATTAGGCTTGTATACAATGCAAGTCTGTTAGGGAAGATGCTTAGAAAAATAAATCAGTATTTCTTTAAGCACGGGTGCTTATTGTAGACGCTTAATCAAGCGTCTCTCCTATGAAAATAGACCATGGTGTTTCAGAAAAATTCAGTTTATTTTTCTAAACACCTTCTTAAACACTTAGCATTGTACAAGATCTTAGGGCAACTCCACCGCCGACCTGCAAATCTCCTCAATCCGTGGATACGGATTGGGAGGCGGCCATCCAACGTTGTCTGCATGCATTTAAAGCCGGGTTTCAATTTAGCGGGTGAAATTCATGCAAACCAGCTAATATTCATCAATGTTGAGAAAGAAAATAGCACTATCATCCATACATAGCATGCAAATAAGTTTGACGTTCAACAAGTTCTTCGGCAGATCTTGTTGTCCCATACATACTGTCCCTTTAGCTTCATCCAATTTTTCGGCGGATCTTGTTGTCCCACACATACTGTCCCTTTAACTTCATCCAACGGTATGTGCACATAAATGGACGTTCCTCTGTCATGTGGTACATCATGGCAGCACGTACGGACGGGCTACACAATGTGTAGAGCAACATTGAGTGAATGAATGATTCAATCAATCAACAAGTTGAGGAAGAAGAAGCAAAACTTATGATCTGCTCCTCTGCCGCGTGCAATGGCCACCTTGCCTCTACCAGTGGCGGAGCCAGGACAGAGGCACGCCCCAGGCCACCTTCGGAGCTACAATATCTACAGTGATCAATAGTAGTAGGTATTTTATGAACAGTCAACTAAGGAATTGGCAGCTACACCCCAGGCCAAGGCCCCTGTTGCCTGTTGCTGGCTCCACCACTGCCTCTAGCTGAACAACTACGTGACAAAACTTGGTAACGATGTTGGTGCTGGAGCAGAGGGTGGACAGAGTTCTCGTAAAAGGCAAGCGGGCGCGTCGGTGCTGGTTGCAAACGTCCGGGAATGCCAGTGTGGCGGCCAAAGAGGTACAATTGCCGAGGTGGAGGTGGAGGTTGCAGATGCAAAACAAGGGGGAGAACTGACAAAGTGGAAGAAAATGAGAGCGGGAAGGCGGATTCAGTGGGCCTGGGGTGTCAGAGTCCAACGTTGGTGCTGCCGGACTCGCGCACCCCCCACTTTGTCTCCACTTTATGGGAGAAGCTGATGCACTAACGCACCCTCACAATGTTGTCATGGATGATGTGCATGTCATAAGGCACAACGTGATTTCGTGCGTGAAACGATTCATGCACTTGTTGGTAGAATGTCACTCCTCTGCTCCTGCTTACGAAATCCGTGGAAACGGCCAACCGCAAATCGCACAACAACTCATCATCCATGGTCAAGTACCCCGCCATCCTTCTTACTCTAAAAAATGACATGGCATCCGATTAGTCATGGATAAGGCATGGGTACAATTATGCGCCCATGGGTACACCCAAATCCAACGAAATGATCATATAGGTGGTTAATATGAATCATAAACCTATGCTACCGAGTCTTTGCATATAAGTTCTAAAGAACTTGACATCTATGTCATAGGCCGCCTCCATTTTATGCTCACACCCCCAACAATACCCCGCCCCCATCCTCCTCACAATCATCATTTCAACAACCATATAAACCTCTCAGAGGCACCAATATACCCATCATTGATGTATATATTAATATGCCCGATGGGTACCCATAGGGTATGGGCATGGGCATGGGCATGGATTTATGCCCGATGGGTAGGGTATGGGTATTATTTTGCCGCGGGTGGTATTTTTATGGAAATCACATTAGGAGAAGATACTAAACTCCTAGATAATATTATGGCAAATTACTCTCAATGGCATACCGAAAGATCTTCTACTAGTAAAAAAGTGCATGCTATTAAAGAAATAAGTACTTTGAGTGAAAAGATGGATGAACTTATGAAATTGATAGCTAGCAAGAGTGCTCCTATTGATACTAATGATATGCCTTTGTCTACTTTGATTAATAATAATAATGAATCTATGGATGTGAATTTTGTTGGTAGGATCAATTTTGGTAATAACACGTATAGAGGAAAT